GGGGAGAGACAGGCAATTAATGCAGTAAGTAGCTAAATTTTATTGTGTGCTATGTGAGTTGATCTGCAATAGAGGAAAATCAGGAAATGTGTGGGGAGTGTGGAGAGGAGGTTAAAATAGGGGATTTAGAGAAATCCTCACCTAGAAGGTAGTATTTGAGTAAAGAACTGAAGGAGGTCATAGGGTGAGCTGTAGATCCCTGTGGGAACATTCCACCGAGTGAGTAGCCTGTGCTCGGCCCTGAGGTCTGAGCATTGCTGGAATGTTCTAGAAGCAGTGAGGGAGATCATATGGCCGGAGGACAGTGAGCAGCCAGAGGATCAGCAGGAGATGAGGCTAGAGAGAGCTGGGGATGGAGAGGGAGGCAGGCCACCAGGGCCTTATGGAATATTGCTTGTGTACCGAGCTGGCTGGGAAGCCATTCCTGCAGAGTTTTGGGCAGAAAAGTGATATGATTGGACTTAAATGTTAATGGAATTACTGGGTAGGAGACTAGTCAAATAACCTAGCAGGGGTCTGATGGTGGTTTGGACCAGGATGTTACAGGGGAGATGGTGAGATATGGACCGATTCTGAAGCTTTTGGTGGGCGTGTCATCAGGAAGAACTGCTGTGGGGTGTGAGAGAAAGAATGAAAGCAAGGATGACTCTAAGGTCATAGATTTGAGTGATGCATGGAAGAAAGGAAAAGCAGCTAAGTCAGCGATGGGGCTGGAGGCTGGATGCCCTCCCCAGTGCTGCTGGAGTCCACAGAGCCCCTCCCAGAGGCTGGGCTGCCCCAGGACCCTGAGGCAGAGCAGGCTCTGCACCCTGAAGACTCCTCCAGGTACATGGAAGTTTGACTGTCTCCCAGCCCCACCTCTTTTTCTCCAGGAAGAGCCGCCAGTGGGAGGGGGCAGCTGTTGTCGCCCCTGCCCCATCTGTCTTCCTGACCCCCTTGTCTAGGACAGGATGCTTCTGAGTGTCTGTGATTCATTCTGGTCTCTCACTCTCCTCCTCCATGAGCCCACCCCTGGATCATATTCACTACCCTCCTCACGTTCCTCTCCCTCTCCACTGAGACGAGAGCAGAGCAAGTCTGCTTCCCAGCCAAGTGACAGAACGCCCATAAACAAAGTGGCCAGTGAACCTTAGGGTACCCTGGGACCAGGGAACTGCCACTCAAGTCTAGGCCCACTGGAGTAACAAAGAGAAACCATCTAGGAGGCTCTATTTCCACCAGGACCACTCCTGGAAATGTCAGGGACTTGACTCTGTCTGGGAAGTGACAGAGTGGCAGAGTATTGTCACATCTGGAGGAAGCCATACCAAAATGGGAAGTGGGAGGTCAAAATGTCCAGAGCAGAGATGATGGGTGAGGAAAAGGTGGGGTTCATGGTGGGCACCAGCAAAAGAACTGAAAGTCACTTTGGAGAAAAGAAGAGAATTCTGATGAAAGCTTCTGGTGCAGACCAGGGAGGTCTTGTCTAGAGCAGATGGGTAGATGGATAAAGGAGGAAGGTTCCTCCTCATGAGGTGGACGGGAGTGCTGTTACAGGCTGCCCCAGACTGTCCCAGCTCTCTGGGTCTATTATTTCAGGAGTAATTACTATCTTTGTTTATAGGGCAAGGTGGAAGACAACTGATTTACCAGACAGAAGTTTAGATGCCTTTGGTCACCATTAGCAGGATTCTGCTTCTTGAGCTCATGTGGGCTGGCTAATAACCAGGGAGTGCTTGTAGCCCTCAAGGGGGAGACTCCAGTACTGTCTGTCAGCTCAGGTGCTGGACAGTCACAGCATGGTAGAGGGGGAAGAACTCTGGGCCAAGAATCTGTAGCCCTGAGAGCCAGATCTGGTTCTGCTACTAACTCACTGCAAGATATACCTCAAGACTCTTCCTGTCTATCTGGGGAGTGGGGAGTTGGACCAGGTGGTCTCCTGTGTTGCTTCCCGCTTTGTGGGAACTCCGCTTTGTAGTTCTGAGATTTAAAACTGCACCTGAACAACCTAAGGCAAGCCAATTTCCAGGTCCATGATAGATAATGAAAGCCCTTTCCTCTGTCCTAGGGAGTTCCATGTTGTTTCAATTCTTTGATGTTTGGATACTCTGTGGTAGGAAGTTATAATATCCAGGTGACTTTGGTTTCTGTTACAAGGATACTGGTATCCGGGCAAGAATGGTGGGCTTATGGATTACCTATGACATAGAGTTAATATAAGTAGAGTGCTGACTGGCTGGCAGTAAGCCAGTGTAAGCATTAACCATCATTATTATTATCATTACTATTATGGGCTGGGTCACATAGACTTTTTCCTCCTGCCCAGGAAGGGTGGGTTCCTCTGCTTCATTTTCACAGGGCTTCCAGGCCAAGCTAAGAACCCCATTGAACACTGGGTTG